ATCAACCTCGTCCTCGAAATGAACCACGGCTAGCATGATTCTTAGGATAACTAGAAGAATAGGAAGAACCAGAGAAATGTTGATTCTGTGAATGATTATTTTGAGATCCATTTGAGCCATATGAACGACCTCCTCGCCCTCCTCTAGAATATCTTCCTCGAGATCCAGAACCTCGATAGGTATAATTCAAAGAACCTCAAACAGTAGAGAAGGCCACAGTAGGCTCAATATGATCTTTGTGATGTTTAGACTCAACATGTATGGCTTCAGAGAGAAGCAGAGAACTCAGTTCATCTATTGAAATGGATTCTGAACGAGCTCTAATTGTTGTCCTAAATGCATCATATTCTTTAGGAAGTCCATACAAGATCAGAAGCACGAGATCTTCATCATCAATGAATGTAGAGGCAAGAGCTAACTGACTCACTAACTCTTTGATTTTTGTGAGATATGCCTCCATGGAATCAGTTTTCTTGGTAACACTGTTTAGTTTGTTCTTGAGTTAATGCACATGAGATCGAGAAAGTGCAGTAAATCTTTTGTGCAAAGCAATCCAAACCTCAGAACAACTATGAAGATGAAGAACTGTGGAATAGAGTGTAGGCGATAAAGTTGCAGTTATGCAACTAAGAAGATGTGCATCTACAAGTTTTCATTAAAAATAGGCAGGATTATCAACCTCCGATCCAGAATCATCTTTGATTGTAACGGATGGACAAGGTGAAGTACCATCAACAATTCCAAGTAAATCAGTAGCTTTCAAAATATTCTGAGTTTGATTTTTCCAAATCAGAAAATTTGAAGCATCAAGCTTGACAGTGATAAACAAAGACAGCTTGGAAATGAGAAGAGAAAGATTAGAAGGAATCGAATTTGAAGACATTGAATTGACTGGAACAGGAAGATGAATCAAGATTGAACACAGACGAGGATCAACTCGCAAGAGATTGAGGCTCTGATACCATGAAGAAAGTTATGAAAACAGAGACTCAACATTCATATATTTTCATTCATTGATAGCTCACACACTTACATTTTACTCAAGATAGTATCTATATATAGAGATCTAATACAGTCTTCTAGAATCTCTAACAGTCTAACAGAATTTGCATATCACAAGTTAGTTACAACTGCCACACATTTAGTTACAACTATTTTGGCAACTGTGGTTGCTTTTGTAACTGTTGGCTGCTATTGTAACTGTGGCTGAAGTGTGGCTACTGCTGTAATTGTGGCTGAAGTGTGGCTTGTGGCTGAAGTGTGGACTGAGCTGAAGTGGCTTGCTTCTGCAGCTGTGGCTGAAGTGAGGATTGAGTTGAAGCTGCAGTTGAATTATATACAGGCCTTGTTGGCTCAGTAGGCTCAACAAATAGAAGAGAGAGGAAAAAAAAAATCAAGCCTTATACGTACACACCATAAGGGATGGGGGAGTGTGCCTCACTCTCCCACCATGAGAGGACACCAAAACTAAAAGTAAGACTGGTGGTAGTTGGAAAGATGGTAAAATTACCAAAGTGCAGCTAATTCAATATCATTTTTTTCCCCCTACATATGATTTGCAAATTTGTTCATGGGTTTTAGTTGATTATTTGATTGAATTCTCGAAAGTTAGATTTTTATTTGTTGTGGGATTTGAAGATTTGAGATTTCATTCTTTGAATAAAATTTTTAATTTTGATTTTTTTCCAGATATGTTTGAAATAGTTAATATGTTTTAGTTCACTTTAAGATTTAACCTTTTGATTGAGGTGTATATGATGTTTGAGAATTTCCAAACAGGTTTATATGATATATTTATTTCAAAAGTTGCGCTCTTTGTCTTATTTATTTATTTATTTTTATTTTGTTGAGAGTTGATATGCATATTGGTTGAGAGTTCATAATATACGTACACTTGCGATGTTTGAGGTTAGTTGAGTTTATGATTATGATTAATAATTAAAATACCAAGTAAGAAAAAATCATGTGCACTAAAAAAATGTGTTAAATAAACATCCTATACTTAAATTATAAGTCTCAATTTTTTTTAACACTAAAATTTAAGAAAATAAGGAAATCTAATGATGCTTGATTTATTTTTTTATTATTATTTTTTTAAAAGCTTGGTAAAAAATTCCTCATTGAAATTGCATCTTGTGAAATGACACAAAATATTTTAAGACAAACTTCACTTTAGCCCCATATTGTTTAGACTATATGTAGTTTACTTGCTTAATGTTTGGAAATGACCACATAACTCCCACATGGTTTGTGGACTATAAAGTACACCGTTAGGTCTGTCAACAATTTAATGGAAAAGATTAAAGTACCCCAGTATATGAGTAACTTAAGTTGCCGTTTGGCTAGAACTTTTTTAGTCGACTTTTTTGAGTTGGAACCTTTTAGCTTGGGACTGAAAATTTTATTTGGGTTGGCTTTTTTAACTTTTGTAAGAGAAAAAATATAATGATTATGATTATAATTAGATGTTACATTTTGTCTTATTGGCTTATTTAGTCTATTTTGTCTTTTGTGTTTATTTAGTCCCAAAAGGCCTAGCCAAACAAACTACGGATATTTTCGTCATTTGTTTGGAAGACAAAGTGCACTTTAATTCCCTGTGCTTTATTCAATGTTCGATTTATCCCCTTGAAATTTGAAATGAGCATATAACCTCCTTATGTTTGCTACGTGGTTCACACTTTCTGTTAAGTTTGACGAAATGTTTAACAGTACATATCAATCCACAAATCACGTGGGGTCATGTGGTCATTTCCAGACGTTAGGGGATAAACTGCACATGGTCCAAACCATGAAGAGGTAAAGTGAAGTTTGCCCAATATTTATTAGTTTGTAAACTTCTCCAAATATAGGTCTCATGCAGGACAAATGATTTTAAAAGTAAATTTTTTTGGACAATTTTGCCCAGTGTTATATGTAGTAGCGATTTGATTCAAATCGTTGATTGCATCTTATACAACTCTCTCTCTCTCTCTCTCTTTCTCTCTCTCTCTCTCACACACACACACACACACACACACACACACAACTCTTTCACACAAATCTTCACCATCTTCGTTGATCGTCTCTCATCACCACTACCACCACCATCTTCATTATCAATCGGTGCAGGGGCAGAGGGACATTGGGCTCAGGGAGGTCACGTACGCCCCTGACTTTTGAATTTTTTTTTTGGGTTTAAGTGTGTTCTGCCTTTCACACATAGATTGTGCCCCTCCTAATACACAATTTCAAACCCACTAACCCACCGACACACACACCACACGCACGACGCACCCACGTTTGTATATATATATATATATTTTGGAATCCCAATCCCAATTAACAATTGACACACAACTTTTTTTTAGGTGAGTGCACACAACTCCAATTACAGTAAGGTTAAAACTCTAAAACCCTAAAAGTGTATGAAATTCTTTATTTTTTTTATTTATTCACAGTATTTGTGAAGTATATTCGTATTTTCTTTGTCTTATTTGTCTCCCTTTGTTGCTTTGCAACTTACCGACTCGCAATTCATCAAATTAGAATCACACAACACATATTTGGGACCACATTACAACCTTGGTATCTTCTCTTCATTGTTTACAAGTAACTTTATTTTTTTTTATACTTTTAAATAAAAATTATGAGTATTAATTTGTAATTATTTGTTAAGTTTTGATTTGTAAATTTTTTTTATTTTTTATTATTTATGTTAAAATAAGAGATTTTGATATGCTAAAATTATGAATCTTAATTGGTGGTGATTTATATTAAAATTAGGGATTTTGGTTTGTTGTTGTTTGCGCTAAAATTAAGGATTTGATTTGTGCTAAAATTAAAATATTAATTTGCAGTGATTAATATTTAAATTACGGATTTTGATTTATTATAATTTGTGCTAAAATTAAAAAAAATTATTTGTTGTGATTTGTGCTAATTTAAATTTTTTTGATTTGTATTAAAATTCAAGATTTTGATTTGTAGGAGGTTTAAGATTTTGATTATGAATTTTTATTTTGATTTTTAGTTTTTTCAAACAGTCATGGAGAAATATTTCAAAAGAAAATCAAAGTTGGAATCATCTCTTTCTCAAGAAAAAAGATGATAATTATTCTTCTGCAAAACAAAGTCACATAGAAATCAACTTAGTAGACCTTCTTGCAGATCCAAGACTACGGCCTCGGATTATGGACTATAATGCTAATGATCGAGACCAAATTCGTAGGGCATATCTACAAAAAGGTCCTTGTCAACCTCGTGATCATAATTTTCCACAAAAATCATTTGGACAAAAACTTCGGCGATTTAATTAGGCTTGGTTTAGTGAATTTCCTAATTGGTTAGAGTATAGCATAGCAAAAGATGCAACATTTTGTTTATGTTGTTATCTTTTCAAACCCGATATTGGAAATCAAGGTAATGGTGATTCTTTTGTTGGTGAGGGTTTCTCAAATTGGAAGAAAAAAGAAAAAATTCATACTCATGTTGGAGGTCCCAATAGTGCTCATAATCAAGCTTCAAGTAAATGTCAAGACTTGTTAAACCAGAACCAAAACCAACATATTGAAACGATTTTTTTCAAACAATCTGATCAAGCTTGAATTGAGTATCGAACCCGTTTGAATTCATCGGTTGATTGTATTAAATTTCTTCTAAGACAAGGACTTCCGTTTCGTGGGCATGATGAATCTGAAAATTCAAGTAACCAAGGAAATTTTCTTGAACTTCTCAAGTTTCTTGCTAATTATAATGAAGATGTCAAAATGGTTGCATTGAGCAATGCTCCACAAAATCTCAAGTTGACATCTCTTGATATTCAAAAAGACATTGTAAATGTGGCCGCATTTGAAACTATCAATGTGATTATTAGAGATTTTGGTGATGCACTTTTTTCTATTTTGATTGATGAAGCCTGTGACATATCAATCAAGGAGCAAATGACAATTGTAATATGATATGCTGACAAAAAAGGACAAGTGATTGAGCGCTTTTTGGGTATTGAGCATGTTGCTAATATGAATGCTCTCTCACTTAAACAAGCTATGAAAAATTTATTCTCCAGACTTGGATTGAGTATTTCCAGATTGCGGGGTCAAGGATATGATGGGGCTAGTAATATGCAAGGTGAGTTCAGTGGTCTTAAAACACTTATACTGAAAAAGAATCCTTGTGCATATTATGTTCATTGTTTGGCTCATCAATTGCAATTGGCACTTGTAGTTGTGACAAAGAATCATAATCAAATTGCTTTACTTTTCACTTTGGTTTCTAATGTGGTGAGTGTTGTTGGAGCATCATGTAAACGCCGAGATATTGTTAAGGAGAAGCAAGCTGCAAAAGTTGCTGAGGCACTTAATAATAGAGAGCTATCTAGTGGACAAGGCTTAAATCAAGAAACTAAAGTTAAACATGCTGGTGATACACGTTGGGGTTCACACTATGGTACTTTAGTCAGCTTGGCTAGTATGTTTTCAACAGTGATTAATGTGCTTGAAATGATTTCAGAGGATGGTTCAAATTCAGAACAACGAGCAGAAGCAAATGTATTGTTGGACTCAATTCAATCATTTGAGTTTGTATTCAACCTTCATTTGATGAAAACGATATTGGCTATTACAAGTGAGTTATCGTAAGCACTACAAAAGAAAGATCAAGATATTGTTAATGCCATGAATTTAGTTCAAATTTCTAAAGTACAACTCCAAAAGATAAGGGAGAGTGGATGAACATCTTTACTTGATAATATTTTATCTTTTTGTGAAAAACATGAAATTGATGTTCCCCAAATGGAAGATATGTTTGTAGCTCGAGGGAGAAAAAGGCGTAATGCTCAAAAAATTACAAATTTACATCACTATCGCGCTGAGTTGTTCTACACTATTTTGGATATGCAAATTCAAGAACTAAATGCTCGTTTCAGTGAGTCGAACACTGAGTTGTTATTTTGTGTGGCATGTTTGAATCCATCTAACTCTTTCTCTAGTTTTGACAGGAAAAAGTTAATTCATCTTGCTGAATTTTATTCCAAAGAATTTTCTTCAGTGGAGCTCATGGTACTTAATGATCAACTTGATACATATATTATCGCTATGCTATCCAATAGTGAGTTCTCAATAGTGAATGGAATTGCTGATTTTGCTAAGAAAATGGTAGAGACTGGAAGAGACAAAGTATATCCATTGGTGTATTTACTCTTGACTTTAGCATTAATCTTACCTGTTGCAACTGCTACTGTTGATAGGGTATTTTCAGCTATGAATATTGTGAAGAATCGGTTGCGGAACCGAATAGGTGATGAATGGATGAATGATAGCTTGATTGTCTACATTGAGAGAGATATTTTTGATGGCATTGACAATGATACTATTATGGAAAGATTTCAACAGAAGAAAACTCGTTGGGGTCAATTGTAAAAGTGTAAAATTTAAAACTTTTTATAATGGATATTAATTTTTAATGTTTAACATTAGCTCGAAAAATTATTATTATGTTATTGTTATTGATTGGGTAAGAAAAATTTTGAGATTGTAATTAATGGATGCCCCCTATATTAAATTCTTGTCTCCACCACTAAATCGGCATTGCTCATTGTCACCCTCATCTGTTGTTATCTCAAATCTAGTGCTACCTCGATCGCACGCCATTCAGAAGAGCTAGTCATGAGTGACAATTTTTTCAAATCTTGATATAGAGATCTTATTTCTTGTGTGCAAACAACAAGAATGGCTTCACCGAACCATTTATTTTATTTTTTTTTTGAGGACGAAAATAGAATATATAATTAATAACGCAAACATGATACAGATGTTGGCAGCTTATGAGCTGGAGTAATAACATCCCTGCCAACCTTTTTAATACAAAAATACAACATACATTTAGCATAATATAGAATATCCATAATGATAGGGTCGATTAGCCGATCAACACCTTGCCGTTGTTGGATCATTGTCACCAAAACTTGACTATCAGTCATGACAGTAATCCGCTTCAAGCCATTGCTGGTTGCCCATTTGAGCGCCGCCAAACAGGCCTTCGCCTTTGCTGCCAAAGGAGAAGGTAAGGGTTGAAATGGCACAGCCTCTGTAGCAATTGGTTGTTGACCATCATCCAAACATATCCAAGCCGCGTTAACGCTAGTGTCCCTTGGTTGCCAAGATCCATCAATGATGAAGCTCCACATTCCTTCCGCATTGCTTTAGCCATCTGTCTTGTCCTTGCTGCACAGCACACTCATTATAATGGAAATTGGATTCGTGGGTAGTAAAAGGGTTACTTCCTGAAGAGCATAGCCATGATAAAAAAAATCATTTGCCATGCGAATGGTGCATTCAATTGACAACTCATCTCGACTAAAAACAAAGCTATTTCGGTGAAGCCAAATAGCCCAGAGTGTTGCCACCAGTTGAAGCATTATATCCTCATCCTTAACTTGCAAAGCCCATCCACTAAACCATGTAAAGAAAGAAACTGGGTTTCCCGAAGTAAAATTGAGTCCCAATGAAGAGCCTCTCCATACCCTTTGCGATAATGGGCAATCAAAGAACAGGTGTTCTAGAGTTTCTTCCTATTGATGACATCTAACACACATCAAGTCCACCTCTACCCCTCTCTTTTTTAGCGCCCACTGAACCGGAAGAATACAATGGAGACACTTCCATAAAAAATAGAGTCCATTTTGGCGGGATTTTGAGCGTCCACATTTTCTTCCAAGCTTTGTGACCCGACGCACCCCTATAAAGACAAGGATAGTATCTAGGGAGCGCTTGTTTATATCCTGATTTAACAGTGCACACCATGGTTCTAAATCGCAGTATCAGGTAACATAACAGTATCGATCGCGAAGTATTGGTATCGGTAGTATCGATTGATACGTATCGGGAATCGAGTGTCGTGGCGGTGAAATTTTAAAAATCATTTCACGGGATTTTCAACTTTTTCTTTCCTATACCAGTCCGAACCGGTGAGTATCGATCCATCACAACTTGTGTAACGGTTACAGACCGATACGTACCGAGACTAGGCCAATTCTCTTACGATTTTCAATCTCAGTGGTATACCGGCCTGTATCCGTTGCGGTGTTCTATTTTTCCGATGCGTAGCGTATCGGCCGATTTTTAAAACTATGGTGTACACCCCACGCTTATCAGGACCTCAAACAACTTTATCCTCGCTAGGTTGCAAAGGAATATGAATAGTTGTGATAAGGGCGATACAATCGTCTGGTGTTTCATTAGATTGTGTATCTATTACAAACAATTAGTGTAAATTTTACTGTAAATCAAAGTAAAATTTTAGTATTGTCCAGAGTAACATTTTATTGTATTTCTGTTATAAATATTTTTTTATTTTGTTGTGCTAGTAAATTCTACTTTGCAAAGTTGTAGGTTCTAGTGGTTAGTGATAGTGGAATGTCAATTTAAACAACAAATCTAGACAATAAAATCTTACTGTCTTAATTAACAAAGTAAAATTTCACTATGTTAACATTATTTGAATTATCATTTTATTATTTTGATAAAATTATAACTAATAACGAACATTATTTGAATTATCATTTTATTATTTTGATAAAATTATAACTAATAACGGTAACGGTCATAGTGAGTATCGTGGTTAGGGATGGTCGTCATGGAATTTTAATTTAAATGATAAATATAGACAATAAAAATTTATTATTCGAGTTATATTAAAGTTAACTTACACAATAAAATTTGTCTTTTTTTAATTTATATATAATTTAATAATCATTATAACTCTTATTTGATAGCTCTCATTGTGAATTTTTAAAATATTAATTTTATCAAAAATCGATGTATGTATCAAAAATTAAGTAATTTTAAATTTTAGAAAATAAAAAGGACATTTCTATTAATTATAAATTGTGGGTGTGACATATTTTCTGTTGTTAGTGCTGCAAGAGTGAAACAATTGTCCTTCCGTGTGACGGAAAGTTGATAAGCAGCTTCTGACTAAAATCCCCTTCAACTGAAATCCCCTCATTTTAAAGGGGAAATTAGCCATTAGTGAAAATTTGAAAAAAAAAATTCCTTCTGTCCCATTTTGTTAGTCCTTTTTCTCATTTTAGAATGTTCCAAAATGTTAGTTCTATTTAAAAAAGCCAAAGCAAAAAATTATTTCACTATATTTGCTTTCAATTTTGTGGATTTAATTATCTGCAAATTGAGTTTTTTATTTTTAATATTTTTTATTTTTAGTGTATTTTTAAAAATTTAAGCAATTTTTGTTTTTTTAACTTTTTTAGATGCACCTTATTTAGATGTATCTAAAAAGTAAAATATTTGTAAAAAAATATTTTAAAAAATCAACAAATACACGAGAATACAAAAATATACTGAATTCTCATATTTTTTTATTATATATTTTTGGTATTTAGTGAATTTTTTAAAAAAAAATCATAAATATTATACTTTTTAAATGTATTTATGTTAGATGTATCTAAATTTTTTATAAAAAATTTGCTTAAATATTTAAAAAATTCAATGAAAACAAAAAAACACAGAAAACAAAAAAATTTAATTTTCTAAAAAGTGAATTCTGAATCCTAAAACCAAACACACTGTTTAATTTTCCAAAATTACCCTTTTTAAATGGCTTGAAAATTGAAAAAGAGAAAGGTTAAAAATTGAAAAAGAGAAGGGCATTATTGAAATAAGTGCATTAAAATTTAAATTCAAATGTAATGATTACACATGTTGGAAAATTTACCCATAAGTCCTAGTTTCTGAAAAGTTGAACCATTTAGTCCTAAAAGTTTTCTTATGCTCCATTTAGTCCCATTTGCACATCAATCTAATGTTTGAAACATTAATCTAATGTTCGAAATCTAATGTTCGAAACATTAATCTGATATTCGAAATCTAATGTTCGAAACATTAATCTGATGTTTGAAACATTGTAATGGGACCTTTCAGTCTATAAGAAAACTTTTAGGACTAAACAGTGTATAAGTTATTAATTTGGGATTTATTGGTGCATCCCCCTTACATGTTTCCTAAAAAAGTTTAAATTTTTTAAAAAAGGGTTATCAAAATGGAACGGACTCTGTCCTAAAATATTAGTCCATTATTCTATTTTTCATTGTTCCAAAATATAAGCCCCTTTTCAAAGGACAAAAATAACATGAAATTCCTGCTTTGCTCTTTTTTTAAATTCAAACATTAATATTTTTGAAGTATAATAAATGTACTACCAAATGGTAGTTTGGAAAGTTAGTATTTTTCAAATATAATAAGGTAATTCTACTTACACATCATTAATCATGTCAGTACACACCATTTAATTATTAAATTTATATGACAATAATATTCTCAAATAAAATGAATATGGGTGTCTATATACTCATTTCAACAATTCATATATGAAAACACAAATATTTCTATACATACCATCACTTAGAACAACTCTCTTTTCTATTATTTTTCAAACTCAAAATATTATTTACTTTGTTTGGTTTTAATTTTTAAAATTCACTTTTCAAAAAATTCTACTTTTTTTGTTTTTCGTATTTTTTGGTTTTCACTGAATTTTTTTAATATTTTAGGCATTTTTTTTAAAAAAAATTTAGACACACCTAATACAAAAATACTGAAAAGTATAATATTTGTGAAAAAATCTTTAAAAAATTCACTGAACACCAAATATACAAAAAAATATATATACATATATATGAAAATTCAATATATTTTGTATATTTTTGTGTATTTATTAATTTTTGAAAATATTTTTTCACAAATATTTTATTTTATAGATACATCTAAGTAAGGTGTATCTAAAAAAGTAAAAAAATTGCTTAAAATTCAAAGAATATTCACTAAAAACAAAAAAAAAAATATGAAAAATAAAAAACTTAATTTCCAAAAAAGTGAATTTAGAAAATTAGGACCAAACACACTGATTGTTTTGAAAGATTTAGGATTTTAAAAGTTAAATCAATTTGATTTTAAAGATTTACATACTATGGATGCTATTGATTTGGAACAAAACAATAATGAAAATATCAGTTTACTTTGTTATTTATTTTGTTCGTGTTGATTTGGAACAAAAGACCGTTTCTTCATTTCTATAATAATAGCTTATTCGTTCCGTGCGTACGTAAAGTTGAACATTTACAAAATGTTCAATGATTGATATTTGAACAAAATCATTTTATTTATATTATTAAGATTAAACAAGTATTAAACGTTCATACCAAAAAAAAAATTAAACATTTTGGTTTAGTTCGAATATAAATTTGTGAATATATTAAATTTTTGCAACACTGTATAAACAATACCAAAACTTTTTTTTTTTTTTAATTTTTGCACAATACAACACCAATTGCTTCGTCACCATAAAATTTCAGCCTGCCATTTGCTCTCATGTTGATTCCATAGATTCAACACAAATCGAGAAC